CACTTTATTTCAAGAACAATATATCAAAATGGTGGAATGATCCAGATGAAGATAAACCAGGGGATGCACTCTGCTTCAATATTCATGAACAAGATAGACAGGCCATCCGCAATGCAATTGTGGGGGCTATTGTTGCTTCGCCCTTACCATTACAGTAGGTTGCTATTTGGTATAAATTACGAAAACCAGAGCTCCCTTAAAGGTTGCCTTATCGAAAATCATCAAGCGAGACTACCCAGCCCGTTTCGGCAACTTTCCTGACCAACTGAAACATTTCCTTTCTTCGGCCGATCATAACCAATGGCACGGAGCCCTCGTGTGTTTATATGCGTTTGTAAAGGTATACGAGTACAAGAGGAATGATGAAAGCAACAACATTACTGCTCCAATGCGCGAGTTCCTACCTTTGCTCCAGTCTGCCATGTCCAACCTGATAAACGATAAGTCGGAAGAGTCGCGCTTGTTACAAGTCCTAATTTTGAAGATATTCTTCGCCTATATACATCTTCACTTCCCTCTGGATGTTATGGACAAAGAGGTAGGTTGTGAATTGCGTCATGTCATGTTTAGGCTATTGGTGCTTGGAACGACCTCTTCCGTGCTGTGATGTCAGACTTCTCCACGCCGACAGATGACATTACCCACCCTGTTTGGAAGTCGAAGAAATGGGCAATTCGTATACTCAATAGATTGTTTTCAAGATATGGAAGTCCAACCATAGTTATTAAAAAATACCGTCAATTTGCGGAGTGGTACTTGAAGTCGTTTTCGAACCCAGTTTTGGTTGTGCTACTGGGAATTTGCGAGATGTATCGACAAAAGTCGTTTATCTCAAAACCAGTGCTCAGTCAAACTTTAGAGCATTTCACATTGGCGTAAGGGTGTCATTCGTTAAGATTATTTGTCGTAGACTCAGTAACTCGTTTTCCTGGAAAATACTGCGCCCCCACTTCTCACTTCTTGTGCGAGAAGTTATATTCCCACTGCTAGCTCATTCTGAAGAGGACGCCGAACTTTGGCAAGAAGACCCTATTGAATACATAAGATTCGAAGCTGGTTAGTTCACGCTGCCAATTTTTGACTTGTTTCAGTTGAATGGGGTAGGGCTGCAGATCCGCCATCCGCCGCGTTTGCTCTCCTTGGTGAAGCTTGTCTCAAACGGCGAGGGGTGTTAACTAACATAATGCCCTTTTGCATTCACATTCTGACTTCTGATAGTACACCACAAGAAAAGGACGCTGTTCTCCACATGTACGGTGCAGTTGCGGAGATACTGTTGAAAAAAGAAGCATATAAAGTAAGCCGATGTTTTTTATTTATTGGAAAAGAACCAACTCGAGCCTTTCCTGCTTAATCATGTGATACCAACACTGCACGCTCCCGAAGGTTACCGTCGAGCTCGTGCATGTTGGCTAGTTGGAAAGCTCGCAGATGCCACCTTTAACGATCCAAACGTGTTCGCCCAACTCGTGGACGAAGTTCGAAAATCCATCTTCAATGATCCAGAGCTGCCGGTTCGTGCATTCGCGGCTCTTTGCCTCGCTGAGTTGCTTCGTTCTCAGGAAGAAGGTACGTCGTTAGATTAATTTCCGTCACTCCGGTCTTTATTTGTCAGCAAAGGAAACAGGCTGTAAACGGTTAGTACTTTTAGTCAGCGTTACATCATTCTTGACACTACATTTCATAAGTGCATGGGAGCAGACTAACTGGCAAATTAAGATGTCAGGATCTGCATACCAGGAATCAGTTCGTGATACTTGAGTGGTCAAAATGCCGCCAGTTTTCTTGGAGGATTCTCATCCAAAGCTGTCAGGCAGCCAAGGCCTGATCCTCAAGGCAACTGGACGGTGTGGGGAGACTGCAATTCTTCCGGGAACATACGCCCTTTGGACGGGGTCAAACGTCCAAGGTGGCCAAGCATCTTGACCACAGTAAGAACCAGGAAGCCTTTGGGGTTCGTGCCCCTTTTAGTCCGGAGTCGGCTTTTAGCCAATTCCCTTAGAGAAACTGCCAGTGGTTTACCGACTCGGTTGTAGTTCTTTTTACTACATTAGAGAAACGGCACACGAGGTCAGCGAGTGAGGCTTCCTCAGCTGTTCAAGGCGCTTGGATGTATGGGGGCGTTGCACGGGGTGCAACGAAAGGGTGACATGTCCATCCAGGACATCCCCGGAGCATACTGAAGCTTCCAAAGGTTTTTTTAGCCTTGGGCAGTTTCCGTATTATCTAGCTCAATGTTTTAGTTTGTACAACCACTGTTTTCCTCTCCATGGGGCCGTTCTACTAATAACCATACCCCGTGAAACTAGTAATTAGGTGAACATGCATGAGAGCCGTTTTGTAGATGCCGCTTTTCGGTTTCTACGCGAAAGGGATACTATTGAATGTTTTCAGGCTTCAGTATGAGGTTGATGTTAAAACGAAAGGAATGAATCACTAACATGATTGAATAACGTGCAAGTTGGTAATTCACATATTACGCCACTTTTGATCATCTAATATAGTTTTCCCCATGAGGATCTAAATTGGGGCAATTAGTTCAGCGATATTGATTGATTATTTTTGTGATATACAACCTCTTGACTAGAACCGCACGAGATGACCGAAGCGTTGAAGCATTACTTCAATGAACTTTATTTCTAACTCTGTAATGTTTTCGAAATTAGTTTAAATTTGCAGCTAAGCCTAAAACCTAGTACCAGTGGAAAATCGTGGTTTACTTTAGTTCGGTCGGCGAGGTATATAACGCATTCATTTTTAACCATCTAATTTGTTTCATTTAACAAACAGTGCATTGTTGTTGTCGCTGTCTAAAATCCTGTGTATTCTGCACACTTAGCTAGTTTACATTCTGGGATTTCTCAAGATGTGTAAAAATATGACCGGCAACAGTGCAGCTTAATTTGATTTGTTAGACATACTATTCGAACGACACCTACTCTACATATATAGCCGAGTTCAGATAGCTTTCATTTGTATGCTCCAAGTCCTAAGGTTTGTCGTTTTCAAATATCCATACTTGAGTGATTTTGAGATAGACTGGTACTAGCGCCATAGTTCATTTGTAACCTGTTTGGTGTAGTTGTTGCATAAGCTTGCTATGATCAAAGACATTTCGCTTTTCATATTTTAGCCAGTAGATGTTAGAGGCTTCAAGAGTAGAATAAACGGCTATCCCTGCGGTCTCTGATTTCTATTTTAGCACAGAAAATTCTGGTGCCGCATCTACGTGACCTTATCCTCCGTAAGTTTAATATTTTCCAGTAATTCCTGTTGAAATTATTGGGTCCAAATGAAATTCTGTCATCCTTGTTTATCCTCATATGAAGCCGTTTCGTTTCTGAGATTGACTGTATACTCATGAGTGTGAAAATTACAACGGTCGTAGCTTATATAGGCTAACTATTACTGGCGTTCGTGAAACTGCATCGTCCATGTCAAATAGTAGCCGCTCCGCAAATATACCATGTATCCATAAACCTTTCCAGTTGTATGAAAATCAATTTAAAGAATAGCGTCATCCCGTGTTTCGAAAGGCATGTAATTGGAAAGACTGGTGCGCGGAATGTTCAGGCTGAATACCACTTTCTCAGGAATCTACACTTCCTAACTTTCCCGTTTTAGCAACCACCTCTACATGTGGGAGTCTTTCCACGTCTTTGCTGATGATATTATTATATTCCACACTTGTCTGAAGCCAGACTGCGTGCCAAACAAATCATGGTACAATCTTTATGAAAAAAGTTCCGTGATTTGCATGTAGGAGGAATACTCCCAGGTTGCCCAGGTCGAGGTAGGTGATTTTTCCTGAGGAATCCACGACCGTATCCTTTGGCTAGCCAAGGCCTAACTCACAAGGCAGCGGGGCGGTGTGAAAACCGCAATCCATTGGGAACCAGTGTCCACTACGTCGGATCCTTCGCCCTTCGGACGGGGTCAAATGTTCAAGGTACCCAATACACTTCGATGCCCAATTGCCACAACCGAAAAGGTGTGGGCCTGATTCGTACGCCTCTTGTTTGGTTTGAAATCAGGGTCTTTGACCAACTCCCTAAGATGAACTACCAATGGTCCACCGACCCGGTAATGGCCCCGGATGTCGCCTCTTCGTCCTCGCTTTGGTGGGGAAACACCGCCGCGAGAAGGCAGAATGGAGCTTCCTCAGCAGAGGCTGTTCGAGACGCTTGGTCGTATGGGTGCATTTCGTGACATGCAAGGGGAGGGTGGCCAGCCTCAACCTTAGACACCCACCCCCGAAAATACGGAGGCTTTTGGAGGCTGATGACACTAATGTTCGCTTTTATTATTATCATTATATATAACCAATCTCGAGGATTGAATCATCTCACCATTAACTGATCTGTTCATAATGGATCTTAGTTGCCTGTTGGTCTGCGAGAACTAAACTATATGCTGTATCGATTATACAGCGTTATTTGTCCTCCACCTCAAAGTGCCGTATCTGTATTAATTCTCTCCGGACTGATTCCGCGAATTCGGGTTTTTAGAGGTTATTCCTCGACCCCACTCGTTCGCTACATTAACTACGGCTGCGTGCAACACTAGTATTCTTCTTACGGACTTCTCAAATTAGGATCCTCAGACTGTCATCAGGTGATCGATTTTTTCTTTGACCGTTATAAGCTTGACCGATATGTCGTTCGTTGCAGCAGAGGATTCGTTGGTAGACTCATGTGAACTTCCTACTGAAGCAGAAGTACAGTTTGACATCCAAGCCCCGAAGAAAGGAAAAGTAGCAGAACCGGACGGTCTCCCTCCCACTTCAAGATGGAGGGCGATGACCTCGTAGACTCCATTACTGATTTAATGCATAACGTCTGATCACACGAGCGCATTCCGTTATTCTGGAGCAAATCACGGTTCGTCCCCATTTCCAAAGAATCTCGAAGCGACTGCACGAACCACCGTCGAATAAGTTTGATCACAGTCGTCACCAAGTTATTAGCCTCCGTCGTACTTCGACGTCTGACACCGTTCAGGGAAACATATCTTTGAACAACAAGCAGGATTTCTACCAGGTCGCGGTTGTATCGATCAAAACTTCTGGTAGCGCAAGGGTTTACGACTAGCTGAGTAGGTTTTTCGTAACTAGCAGCGGTGTTCCTCAAGGGTGCCCTCTTTCGTCATTCCTATTCAATTCCATCATAGACGAAATAATGGAGAACACTGAGTGGGCTCCAAAATGTAGGTATTGAATGGGCAGCTAGAGAAAAGCGGTGCGATTTGGAGTACGCTGACGACGTCGTATGCCTGTTCGAATCTACAAAGGATGCGCAGAGTACTTGACAGATTGGCAAATTCTGTCGCTCCGTTCGGCATGTGCTTTGCACCTTCGAAGTGCAAACTGAAGCTGCAAGAATGGGCGTCGCTAAGTTCTGTTCTGAAACTGGATCAAGAGTTGGTTGGAGTTGACTGCTTCTCGTAGTTGGGTATCTGCGTGACCAACGGCGGTAGCGCATCAAAAGAGATAACCGTCCACATTTCAAAGGCTCAAGCAGCGTACACAGGACTAAAACACATGTAGGGGCGAAGCGACGTGTCACTTGAGTTGAAAAGTCGCGTATACTGCGCCACTACAATCAGTTCTGCTTTACGGTTGTGAGATCTTGAACTTGCCAATAAGAGATATCCGTCACCTAGTGGTTTTTGACTGCTTACGTACTTTGGCCCAATTGGATGGAGCGGTTACCTAGAATGCACCGACCACAAACTTGTTTGCGCATCAAATTCACCTAGATAGACTCCGTT